CTTTTTTTTTTTTTTTTTTTTTTTTGTCTTGGAATCGGATGGAAAGGGTCACGGGCCTGAGAGATGTAGGACACAGTTGCATCTCATTGGGAAATTCGCCCATTTCGCGGCCATCCAAACGATCGAATAAGCAACCACAAACGCTATCTGACTCGACCGCAATTAGGTCAAACGGCTAAGGACCATTCTGGCAAGCGTCGGCTATATATGTCCCCAACGGGGGTTTTTGCTAAAGCATTTTCGCCACTGCCCCCGCATAATGCTATCTCTCCGGATTCTGTCTTGATTGATATTATTGGGGACTATTAAAACAATAAACACCCAGTCTGCCGTCTCTCCTCCTGGATGAACAGTTTACAATTTTCAATTTCGCCCATCCTTTAACCCTGAATCATGAGTTCTCATTCTCTACCCGCTGAGATCAATCCAGACACGGATTGCAGTCCTCCTGGAAATGTCAAGAACGATTTGGATCAAATCAGCCCGGATTTCCTTGACGATGGCACCATCGAGGCCTTTGGTTATACCCCAGTCTACCGGAGGGTAGTAGGCGCCCTTGTTGGCTTCTGCATCGTTATCTCCTTAACATCGTGAGAATAACTTATCCAACTGCGTGAGGGGGCAATGGAAAATGGATGTTGACGCTGAAAGTCCACTCGGCGCTATCATGGTTGCCGGTGTCTATCCGATCACGTACGCAGGATACTGGGGGCTCTCATGGTATGAAAACAACTTACCTACTTGCTGCCACTTCCCTTCCTAACTGGTAGGCTGCAGGGGCTGGCTCATTCCAAATATAATGATGATCCCGCAAGTCATCGCGGTCGCTGAGCTCTGCTCATCCATGCCGGTGAACGGCGCTTTCTACTGGTGGGCTGCTGCGCTGGCACCCCGACGCGCATCTCGACCTGTTGCCTTTATCATGGGCTGGCTCAATGTTTTGTCCCTTGCAACGCACCTAGCGAGTTTCTCGTACGCTGTAGCATCAAGCCTCGGCCAGACTATCGGATATTTTGTGGAGGGCTTTGTGGCCACACGACCGCAGCTGATGGGCATGGCGATGGGGACGGTCACGCTATGGGCGAGCTTGATGCTGCTCCGGCTAGAGAGAATGACTCTTGTTATAATGACTACAGGTAAAACAATCCCCAACATTTACCTGGGTTCCGCTAAACCTAGTAGCCACCGTACTCCTCCTCTCATGTATCGCCTTTGTCGTTGCGCTTCCCGCGACCCATGTTGCCCATGGTCTACCATTCGCAGATGCAGCAGACGTGTTCGGTGACTTCACGAACTACTCTGAATGGCCAGAGAACGGCTTCGCGGTATTAATTAGCTTCTCGGGTGCACTCTGGGTCAACTCTCTCTGGATCGCTCCAGTATACGTAGCGGAGGAGACCCAGAAAGCGAGAGTACGAGCGCCGAAAGCTATAATCCAGTCATTTGGCTGCACGGCTATCGTAGGTGCGATCATCTGTCTCGTCTTTGATTTCTGCATCTATGATATGGACGCCACTGCACTCGACGAGACGTAAGTTTTCTCTGGCCCTACCTCTCTGCTTTTCGTCCGTGGACTGACTTTGTAAGTGGGTTCCCCCTGTTCAACCTCATCCGTCAACACTGGGACACCAAGGGAACTGCAGCTTTCCTGCTAATCGGCAGTGTGTTCTCATGCCTGGGCGGTAGCGGAATGCTCCTGACCTACGCAACGCAGATCGCCGCGTTCGCTCGAGATGGCGGGCTCCCACTAAGCCGCTACCTTGTGCGCGTGCACCATCGAACCAACATGCCCCTTTTCGCGACCGCCCTCCTGGTCCTTGTAACCTACCTTCTCCTGCTCCTCTCACTATCTGCAAATGCAAGTGATATCGTTTACAGCATGGCGACGCTCGCAAATCTTCTCCTGTGGTGTGTCCCGATAACACTTCGTCTCCTTGCGGGGGGTAAATGGGTCCCTGGGCCGTTCCATACCGGGAGGCTTAGCTGGTGGATTCATCTTCTTGCGGCCATGATCACAGCGTTTTTCCTGATTGCGCGAGCGTTCCCGCCTAATCCTGATATCCCACCACTTAATGTGATTGTCATCGCCGGCGTGCTTGTTGTGGCGGCGGCGGCGTTCTTCTTTACGAAGTTCCGCGGGCTAAATCTTGATGCGCTGGAGATTTGGAGGGATGAGTATCAGCAGCACAGAGGGGATCGGCCTATGTGAGATCACGTCGAGGTCGTCGTCAGGTACTTCGATATCAAGCCGCCTATTGGGCTGATGCCGTGCCACTTTCTAAGTCAATTAGTTAATTGGTAGAGTCGAACACGGGCCTACATACTAGAACTCTTTGGGAGGATAATCCCTGGCCATGCAAAGAAGTAACTCCCCGGCTCCCCGTTTTGTTTAGGTCTCAATGGCGCGTTCTGATGGCCTTGATCTGCTACATACAAGCCACGGCGTAGTGTCGTGCTAATGGCGGCAGAGTTCTAGCGCGCAAGGTGGGTCATTTAAATGCTAACGAAATTTCATAGGCGGACAGGCGGACCCAGTAACCCGAGGAGATCAGCAGGAAAACCCCCCAACGGGCCTTTTTCCAAACATCCGTTGCCCAACAATGTCCAGCGTGTCGAACGTCAACCCTGGCGCAGCTTCTGAACTACTATAGTAAAAGGGGCTTGTTACGTATGTGCCGCGGAACCATGTGCCATTACAGGGCGTAACTAAAGTGCCACCTACTAGCTTCGGGGGTTGAGGTAAATTGTTGTAAAGAAACATCCCGAGTTCCGTAGATCTTACTCCTCTGGCTTTCTCCATTGGCGCCTCTAGGTCCTATAAATCCAGGGAGCGTTCGACCTCCTAGGGATGTGACTTCCAAGCATACGCACACTTACAATCATAGCAAATTCTCACAATGCGCACTTCCTTCATGCTTTGGTTCTTCCACTTGGCACTGATTTCAGTCACACTTACGCTCCAATCTTCGGCGCACGACATGAGCCCACGCAATTCAACACCGACACTGCGCGACCTCATCACCGCAGACCCAGGACTCCCTTATCCTAACCCAACCACCCCATACTGGATCTCCGATCCCGGTCCCCATCCTCTGGCAAACACTAGCTCACCGCAACTACCAGAAACCGCCGACGTCGTAATCATCGGATCTGGGATCACAGGCACCAGTATAGCCTTCCACTTGCTGCAAGAAGGACCTCCAGACCTCCGAGTCACAGTCCTCGAAGCGCGCTCCCTGTGCTCGGGTGCGACGGGTCGGAATGGCGGCCATCTTGTCACTTATGGCGCGGTATTATACTCGTCCCTGAAGCAGATGTTGGGCCGGGAGCTAGCGTATAAGGTCCTCAACTTCACTTTTCAGAACGTTGATGCAGTTGCGGATGCCGTGCAGCGGTATGCCCCGCAGGAGGCTGGCTATCGGGCTCTTGACCGGGTGATGTGTCATGGGGATGAGGAGGGGTTCGCAGAGGCGAAGAGAAGTGTTGAGGAGTTTGAGCGGGATTATCCCGAGCAAGCCGGAAGGTACACCTTCCTCAGCCCGGAGAAGGTGAAGGAGGTGAGTCATGTTACCCGAAGGACTTTGTGGCCCGCACAGACATCATCTGATCATTACATCCATCCACAAGAGCTACGGCATCCATGGTGTCGCAGGGGCAATCAAATTCGCCGCCGGGGCTCTCTCCCCCTACCGATTCATCATGAAGATCTGGGAGACCCTGCTAGCGAGATATCCCGACAATCTCACAGTCGAAGCGCACACACCCGCAACGAATGTCACTCAGGTTCCTATATGCTCCCCTGATCACAAATACAGGTACCGGGTCCACACGCCGCGAGGCGTCATCCGGACTGCAAACGTCATATACGCCACAAACGCGTATACGGGTCACTTACTCCCCACAATCCGCGGCCACATATGGCCCTTCCGCGAGACCATGACTGTACAAGGACTCAGCAACAAAATTCCGAACCGCGGAGTCACCACTTCATGGAGTGTGCATCAAGACCCGGTTTACAACAGCACTAGTGGTAAATCGGAAACGGGGACCCTATATCTGCAGCAGAATCCCAGGAATGGCGACTTTTACTTTGGCGGCGCGTATGCAAACGCAGAGGAGGCTCTCACCTCGGATGATAGCGGAATGACTGCACAAGGGACGGCCTATCTTCGCAAGGAACTGTCGCAGCTCTTTGGGCTAAACCAACACGATAAAACCAGACTTGTTAGCGAGTGGACAGGTATCCAGGGTTTTACTGCCGACGGAGCACCCTTAGCCGGGCCATTGCCTTTCTCTGTGACTCGCCGCGAGGGCGGTCGTGAGTGGATTGCTGCGGGGTATAACGGCGGGGGAATGGCTCTCTGCTGGAGGATGGGTAAAGCAATTGCAGGCATGCTACGGGGTGAGGACGTGAGTGAGTGGTTCCCTGAAGTGTTCTATGCCACCGAGGAGAGGCTGGAGTCGACTTTGGCGGTCGACGTTGGGGTCGCTGGAATAAAGGAGTATTTTCCTGATTATCGGGAGCAGTAAAGGAATACAATGATGAGTGGCACTGGTATTGGAGGTCCAACTGATTATGGAAAGCAGTTTCATCACGATGCGGTCTCGAATGGCATATCGATATTCCGTTGGAACTAGTAGTATATTATGTTTGAAGGCTGTTAGGTGTTTTCATGTACACTTGCTGGGCTACCATGATATTGATGTCTACCGTTGCGCACTGTCTTCGATTCCGAGCTTTAGTTATTACTTAGAAAGAGAAGGCGGGAAAGAAGCCCGCTACCAGCCCCAGGGACGTTCAAGAGGTAGCTTAAGCCAGTAGAGGCCGGATGAAGGGTACTCGCGGTTAGAGTACCTGCCTATTCTATATAATCTAGATTATTTTGTTTGGCCGGTAAGGAGAATTATAAGGCTCGCAAATCTCTAATTCTTTACAACTGGGAGCGGATTCAGCGGAGCTCCGGTGGACTAGTCGTAGCATCTCCGACCCTAAGTAAGCCAACATGTACAGTCAGCGTTCAAAAGAATTTGGAACAGGGTACACGCCCCACTTAATTTTCTGCCGGCTCAAAATACCAATTCATTCAATGTTTCAATAACTGCCATGCCATAAATCATATTTAGTGACCTCCTCTACATGACGAGGAATTTTATAAGCTAGAGGAATAAGACAGCGAATAATTTAGGCGAATTAGCTAGATTCGATCGCCTACGTGAGGGAGGATGTGGCGCCTATAGGTAGGCGGTGTATGGAAAGCGGTAGGGGCGGGGAGTACTATGCTCCAAATACTTTTGAACGGCCACTGTACCTACTTGCTATGCAACAGCTACATCGACGAGACAAGCGGAAACCGGGGGGGGGTGATTGCTATTCTGGACTTTATATATACGTATACCTAAGGGGAAAGAGCCCATTGTTGTGGATAGAATCTGTATCCAGATTACGCATGACAGTGGACCAGCCTGCCATGGGAAGCACTCCGCACGAGCCTCGAATTCAGAAACTTTGAGTTCCGGGATGTTCCACCTCTTGAGCTTGACTCTGTTTAAGACTGCTGCCTGAATCACCCATCATACACTCCCAATGCTTGACGTAATGTGGTCGCGCAATACGGGTCCTTTCCCTACAAATGCTGCTACCTACCGGCAAAGCAACCACCATCAGTTTTCCCTGTTTCTCTTTCTTAACATCTGTGCATCTAGAAGTCTGTGCATCTAGAATACACCCAGCTGCTAGAATCCAAGCAAGACAGTAAACTTAGTTACGTCGGCGAGCGGAGGCACCGCTCTTGCATACTCCCTGTGGGATTCAATGCAGTGACTACGCAAAAGTATTTGGAGGCTCTGTGCCCACACTCTTTACATTACATAATATACTGCCGGTCGCAAACCCTCCCCTAAAACTCCCTTGAATTTAACAATCTACGCTTATATCCCATTGAATATCGTGTAGCTCACATACATGCTTATGAAGCACTAATGTAAGCTCTTTTGACGGAGCTATTGGACTAGAAATCGAAGAGGATATCCAAATTATCCTATAGGATTGGTTGGAAAGGTATGAGAGAGTGAGCAGGACAGGGGGCTTCACGGAACCTTGTGACTATAGCGTTACACACATTTTAGCGTGTTCTCTTACTACCCTTGTCTAGCAGGCGGTAGGAATTAGTATAGGCGGTCAGCAAAGTGGGGGCCCGGGGGGGGGGGGGGGGGGGGATTGGGGGGGGGTCCCAAATACTTTTGCGTAGTCACTGTACCTGTCCTTTCCCATACTTTCACCGATGACCGGTGGATTCCAGGGCCATGGAATCTAGGTCAGTGAAGTATACCTATCCATACGTTGACTGTGGTCACACAACTGCATCTGATTGTTATGGAGTGTTTTCCATCGGAGCGGGCATGGACGACTGGCCATTTCAATTTTATATTACTCTGTGGAGGGCAGAGGTTATGGTCAGTACAGAGACTTTCAACTCCAACCGTGGAATTTCCATGTTAATTTCAGATGTCCTTTTCCACCTAACAGTCTAGCCGGATCAAGTAGTGATGTGAGGCCAGTGGTTGGGTTCTCCCCGTCCCCACAAGGAACTGTGAAAACCCCCGACGGCCATTTAACTGGACCCTAGAAAGCGTAGCGTCCAATCATGGTAATGCTGTTGACCCGGTGAAGTTGATCGGAAGAGTTGAGAACGTACTCTGTAGGGGCAGCTAATAATATTTCAACGTAATTTTCCTGCCGTGGAACTTGAAACAGCTGAAGTCCGCTAATGTACAGATCCTCCGCGACCCTATCATCATGAGAGCAGCTGAGATAAGACCTCGTTCGGCTATGGGCAAGTAGATGGTATGATACTGGGATTGGCTCCATGGCATATACCTGTTGCTTTCAATCTCAGTGCCCGAGGTCTCTGATCTAACGTATGCCGTTGCGGCGTAAAGTACATATTTTGTGTATATGGGTCAACTTTAAAGATGCCAAACAAGAGGTACCGAGAATAAGGACACCTGGGATGTCTGTAGTACAGTTAGATCCCCTTTCAGGCACGATAACGACGAAAGGGATAGGCTGCAATGTTACCAGAAACCAGTATTGGCCCCATAACAGGAATTAGCGAGGCCCACCAAATAGGTGCTTCTGAGTAGCGTCTCCATCCGGATTCGCTGGTACCAAGTAGGAGTTTTCCAACATGGATGACGCACGACGCAAGTGAATCACTACGCACAAGAATTGAGGCAAGCAGATAGTGGGCATTTAATCTAGAGCGAATATGCGTTTTATCTACGAAATCCTAATTTTCTGGTAGAGTGGGTCTATCTATGTCTGGAGTCGAATGTTTTACCTTAGAGCTTGCACAGCCTTCGGTAATGAGCAAATCGTTGCTCGAAATCGTGGAATCCAGAACCCTTCAAGACATTGTATATTGAGCGAGCCTTCCACGACGCTGACCCGACGCAATTTTTTCTTCAGATTCTGACACCCAAACTCTCGATATGTCTGCTCTACCAAATGGGCTCATAACCTTCGGCCCCAGCGCCAATTGTACTCTGGAGTTATGCCCATTGGAGGCCAGCATTCTTCAATACCAACCCTCTACAGCTGCTACCGCTGTTGCGATTGCGATCTTCGGACTTTCCCTTATCTTGAATATCGGACAGGGTGTCTACCACCAAACATGGGCCTTTATGGCTTGCTTGGTGAGTGGGTGCATCCTGGAGATCGCCGGGTACATCGGACGCATCATAATCAATGGAAATCCATTTGACTTCAACGGTTTTCTCATGCAAATTAGTAAGGTCCCTCAAGATTTTGCGACTTCAGTGGTCTAACAATAACTAGTTTGTATCACGGTAGCGCCTATCTTCTTCTGCGCGGCGATCTACGTTCTCCTAGTTAGGATGTTTGTACCTCCCCCGTCTATACTTGTGTCGAGATATCTCACATACCATTAGAATTTTGTTGATTGACGAGCGCCTGTCCCGTATTTCTCCTCGATACCTCTCCTGGATATTCATCTCGTTCGATGTGATCTCTCTAGTGCTACAAGCTGTTGGCGGGGCACTGTCCTGTGTGGGAGAGAATAAGGACGACATCCAAGTCGGCACGGACATCTCCCTCGCGGGTCTCATATTTCAGGTCGTCACGTTGACCCTATTCGTTGCTCTCTTCGTCGATTACCTATCCGCCTGCCGCCAATACTCTAACCACAAGGCGCTCACGAGACAGATGAATTTCTTCCTTTCCTTCTTGTTTCTTTCTATTCTCCTTATTCTCCTTCGATGCGTTTATCGTGTGGTCGAATTACATGGAGGCTACTTCAGTCATTTTTTCAGAGACGAACCGCTCTTTATTGCGCTTGAGACAGCGTATAGCACCCAACCTCCGATAATGGTTCCTGATATTGGCTAACTGTTTGGACTAGTATCATGTGTGCGGCAGCCGTTTGCCTCAATGTAGGCCATCCAGGTCTTATCTTTGGGAGAAGGAAAGGCGATCCGATTCATAGAGAAGCACAGCATGCTTTACTATAGCTAGACTCTGGTTTTCCTCAATTAACCAAGACCGACTAGTTCATTTTGGGACGATTTGAGTCTTTACACATCCAGGGCAGCGGTTTGCTAGTCATATGATTACCTGGAAGTGAGTCGGTATTTGCACATGGGGCGATCGGGCATGCGAGTAACTAGCTTATCTACTATGGTATAAAGGACGTCTCCAATCCAGACCACTTGCTATTCTTATTTTCAATCAGTCTGTCGGCCACATTGGCTCCAACAGTTAAGACAAACCCTAAAGACTATGAGTAATCTAGAAGTTCTCTTTTTCATAAGCTCATTTGGATTGGCATCCACTTCAACTTCATTGCATACATTTCAACGTTTTTTTTTTTTTTTTTTTTTCAACTTTTATGCGTATCTCTCTTTACTTTCGTTTTAGGGCCGATGCATGCGGCGCGTGCGTCCAAAACCTGAAGTATATTGTCACAGCAATGTTCCTCTGGGTGCCTCAGCGTAGAACAAAGCTAATTTCTCAATATAATTTTCGAGATATATTCCGATAAAGCTATATTTCCCAATTAGCCTGATACTGAAGTCTGGATTCTTTATACCTGAATTTCTGTAGGGTAGCCTGGTGGTACTAAAGAGTCCATATCCTCTCTACCATAACACTTGTCTGGAATATCACATTAAAATAAGAACATAACGACAACCGAGCAAGAAAATCTCAGCAAACCATTTTCTAAAGCCCTTCCTTTCTAACTAACTCTCTTACAAGCATACAGTGTAACTAGCATGGTAGGTAGACGGGTGATATGGTGATCGTTCTTGTATTGGTCTTGGTGAGACCCGCTACTATGCAACTAGCTACGGCGGGCGAAAGCCACCAACAACGCATAACTATAGGAAACAACGAAAGCCATAGCATAGCAGCTCGAAACCTTAAAGCTACCTATTATAGCACTAAGCTCGTGGTCACTCTAATTATCTAAAGTAATACTAATCTAAGTATAACACTTACTATCACTATAAAAAGATATCTCTTTATGTATATATATTTAATTCTTCGCGATTAATCTTAATGCTTTAAGTTAAACTTACTTAAGTATATCTTTACTTCTATATAGTATTACTACGACTACACTCTATAAGTAGGGGAGCTCTTTAAACTAACCTACTTAGTGCCCTACCTAGCACATCCTTCGGAGTTACTTAATAAGACCCGTGCCACTCTAAGACCTCTCCATATTGTTTCTCAACTGAAACCCCACCCAAGATAACAGACTATCAAGAAGTTCCGAACTTATTAAGCCTAGCTTGCTGAGTGTGTGCCTTTGGCAGCCAGTCTTTCATGAAAAAGCCATAAAAGATTGTCGGCCAAAATCATGTTTTATTACTACCGTCAAATTTGAGAAGAAAACTCAAGCCTCGCTCAGATATTCCATACTCCGCGTAACAGTTAACCTCTCCCTCAGCCGCTCCTCAGATATCAAATACGCCTCTGGTAGGTACTCCCTCGGTGATTGACCCAGTATCATCAGCCCCAAACTTTCTCCCGCAAGCCAGGCCGATGGCATCCCGTACCCGTTATACCCGCCCGAGAACCACTCCCCTTGACCGTCTCGGCCAGTCAACGTTGATGGCAATTTGCCTACCAATGGTAGTGTATCTGACGTAAAGCCCATGACTCCGGACCAAGCACTGACAAGTTTACGGGCGGGTTCCCGGAGTCCAAAGAGTGAATCCAGAGATTCCTGCAGGAACTGTACGGATGACTGCGAGAGGATGGTATCGTCACTGGAGAGCAGCTGTTCTGGAGGGGACTTCTCGCCGCCAAAGAAGTGCCACCCAGTTTTGACATTCTGCATCCCGTAGATCAGCCCGTCTGCGAGGCCGCCAGTGGCAGCGTCAAAGAAAGGCGGGTAATGGATTGCCCAGGACGTCGTGGATCCACGGTTCGGGATAGAGGGAATGGCTGTGAGATCTTGCACGGTCATGGTTCCTTTCATTGGGAATAATGCGCCTCGAAGGGCCGGGAGGAGGTGGCCTGTGTACCCGTTTGTGCAGTAGGCGACTTGAGCGGCTCGGATGATTCCTCTTGGGGTGGTCAGGATGTAGGGGTTCTTTGAATCCAGTGAAGAGGCGCTATAGATAACCTCGGTCACTGGGGTGTTGGTTTCGATTGACAGACGAGAGGGATACCGGGATAACAGGTCATCAAAAGCATTGGTTACTACCCTGTATGGCCAGACTGTTCCGGCAGAGTGCAGCACTGCACCAGAAACGCCGTGGACACCATGTTCCTACCTGTAATCAGCGAGAAGCACAGTTGGATTGGGGAGGGAGGGACTCTCCCTCACCTGTTGACAAGCCTCTGGGCCAAGAACGGTATACAGCCCCCTCAGCGAAGGGTGATCTGCTTCCAACGCCTCGATACCCTCTCGGACCCTCCGGAACGACTCCTCATCTTTGAAAGACCGAATCTTTACGACGTCGGTGACCTCGGAATCCTGAACTGAGGCAAGCTGCGCTGCGATCCGGCGAAGAGCCTCGAGCGTCTTGAGATTAAAATGGATAATCTTGCCTGCCATCTCCACTCCCATCATCTTCTTGAGTTTGAGATAACTTTCCGCTGCATTAATCGCGAGTTGTCCGCCATTGCGACCCGTCGCACCGGAGCAGAGGGTCCGTGCATCGAAGACGGTTACTGTTGCTGTTTCATCCTGTTCAAGGATGGTTTTTGCCACGCTCACGCCGGTGATTCCTGAGCCGATGACGGCGACATCGGTGGTTTGGGGGAGGCTGGGGCTTTGAGCGTTGGAGAGCCTGTGAGGGATATGTTGCCAGTATGCTGCTGTAGGGTTGTCGCGTGGTAGACCGGGGTCTTGCGTGATGAGGTTGAGGAGCGCTTGTTCTAGGGAAGTTAGGAAATCTGCCGTCTGGAATTATGAAGAGAAAAAAGGGTTCTACCGTCGACTTCATGATCTGACATTGTGAAATATTGCTATCCTTGGTCTGCATTCAGAGGGTTGTGCCAGTGGCTACTATTTATATTATATTTGACTCGACACACTCTGGAGTAACGAGCGAGAAAAAAAAAAACCCCCGACGGAGACTTAAATTCTCGCACTTGTTTTTTTTTTTTCAAAAGCTTCAGCAAGGACCTCCTCGCTGTCCGCGGGCTCCTGAGACTCTTGTACAACGGGTATTGGTCATGATTGATAGACATCAGACAAGAACTACTCTGGCCAGAAGAATACATATTACCCTACATACGCAGCGTGATGCCTCCTCCACACTTCCAAAGCCTCCAGATCCAGCCCCTTATAATTCTTCCTCCCCACACTCCAGTATAACCCACATGAAATCAGCACTGCCCCGATGGTCAGTGCAAAATTATAATTAAAGGTGTCTACAGTCCATGCCCGTGCTATTGGGAAACACTCCATGATGACCAGATACATCTGCGTGACTACGGTGGCAAAGTGGATGGGGATACTCCAGCGGCCGAGATTCCAGGGGCCCGGCACCCATCGGTCGCCGGCGAAAATACGGAAGAAGACCGGCACAATAAAGGTTATGAGGCCAGTAACGACGGAGAGGGAGTAAATGATGGAGCTGGCTTCCGGGGAGAGAGCGATTATGAGGACCAGAAAGGTGCCGATTCCTAGGATGGCGAGGGAGTAGATGGGGAGGTTGAGCCGGGGATGCACATAGGCCACGCGCTCATGCCAGGGAAACCCACCATCACGAGCGAATGCTGCAATCTGGCTGGCATAGGTGAGGAGGGTTCCGCTGCCCCCGATGAATCCCACCGGGGTGACGAACAGGAAGAATGCAGACGTCGGGGCTTGGCCCCAGTGTTCGTAAACGAGATTCATCAAGGGGTATCCACTAGACGGGGAGGGTTAGCATGAAGACCTCTTAAGGATTTTCAAGAACATGCCTCTCATCTGTTGCGGCGGCCTCTATGTCATTGATGCAGAATGCAGAAATCAAACAAATGACCATGCCAAAGACTGCGGTGACGGAAAAAGTGTACCACAGGGACTTCGGGATCTCCCTGCTAGCATTATGCGTCTCCTCGGCGACATAGACAGGGACCATCCATGCCGAGTTAACCCAGAGAGTACAGAACCAGGTGTACGGAACGGCCACGGCCGGGCTCCAGTCGGAGAAGTTGGTGTACTCTCCAAAGACAGTCTTTGCAGACGCAAATGGGCGATTCTGGACTTTGTGGCTGATTGGCAGACCAAGTATGAAGACAATAGTCTGAATTAGGACCAAAATTGCTGTTAACTTGTCAGTCAATGCCTATCAAACGGCAAGAAAGGAAAAGTTACCCATGGCAATATACAGAGAGGCAATGCGTTCCAATTTCAGGGCCATCACACCACTCCAGACGACAATTACAGCTAGGGAAAGGCACATTATCTGAGCGTTAGTCCAGGCCATCGAAGGGACAGCAATGGTCACCGCATAGGAAAACGACGAGGCCACAGCGTAGGCAAAACTAGCTGTTGAGGCGAACATGGTGAGCACGTTCAGCCACCCCGTGATGAATGAGACGGCGTGCGACCACCCCGGCGGCGCAAGTGCACCAGCCCACCAGTAGAAGGAGCCATTGACCGGCATGGATGAGGCGAGCTCTGCAATGACAAGCACTTGGGGAATCAATATGACATTGGGGATAATCCAACCCCTAAAAAAATCAGCATTGCCTTGATTTGCACCCAGTTGGACGAGTCTTTTCTCACCAGGAAAGCCCCCAGTAGCCACCATATGAGATTTGATAGAATGCGGAGACCAGGATCGCACCCAGTGGACTACACAGAGAGAGACAATCAGCACAGTTCTGGAACTGCAATTACATAAGAGCACATACGTTGTCAGAGCGACCACCATGCACATATTTCCTAGAGAACGAAAGACTCTTCGGTAGACGGCCACGTAGCCGAGCTCCTCGATGGTGCCATTCTCAACCACGGTTCCATAAGTCGACACTGGCTCAATGGGTTGTAGCAATTTATTGTCGACCGGGGATTTTTTCCCCTGTGGTTCATTGGTAAGAGACATAGTACTGGATAGGTTGATAGAAGGGGAAAAACGCGGATTTGGTGGCAGGTCTTGCGAGCAGGTAGCCTGCCAATTCAGCTAAATAGGTCTCATAGATATCACATTTCCATATCACCCTACAATATTCTTTTATCTTGGAGAGCATGCGGGGGCGTATGAATCTAACGCTAAAACCTGGGGTTAGAACTTAGGCCAGAGTTAGGCGGGAGGAATGAAGAGTTAGAGAGATTAAAGTAATGAAACTAAGTACTACATACATCTCGCCGTCGGTGCTTTTTTCTGATTGGCTGTCCATTGTAATATCGCTATATAGCTTCCTTATGCTGATCGGCAAATACCTTTACTACATCCAAGAACCGGTCAATGTGCTCCTTCGTATGTGCCAGATTCAAACACAGGAATCCACGTCGTCCCATCAGGATTCCTTGCTTTACGAGAGTGAAATAGAACACCTCACGGAGGGCCGGGCCACGATCGCCCAGAAAGCCCATGCCCACTGTACTCCCGTAGCCTACGAAGACAACATCCTTGAGCCCCGCTTGTTGCGCAATACTGTTGCCTGTCGCGCGCAGATCATCGCCCAGCTTGTTGAGCTCAGCCAGCGACTGCTCCGTCACCAGCTCAGCCGCCGCTACGGCCGCCGTCATGGTAAAGATATTATTGTTGAAGGTGCCGCTGTGATGCAGTACACTGCTGCCTTGAGCGATGGGGTCAAACTGCTCCATGATGTCGGCACGTCCGCCAAAGGCACCAAAGGAGAATCCACCGCCGAGGTATTTGCCCAGTGTGGTCATATCCGGATAGACGTCCCGGGCGCCCTGCAGGCCATGGTATTGTAAACGAGAGGTTACGACTTCGTCAAAGATAAGAACCGCACCGAATTTGGTGGCGGACTCACGTAAGAACTGTAGAAACTCGGTTGAAGCCGGCCGGACGCCTCCTGCCATTTGCATTGGCTCGATTAGGATGGCCGCCAAAGTGTCGTCAACCAAGGGCCGTGTTCGCTCAATGTCATCAAAGGCACCGACGACAAATTGGTGCGGTAGATTCATCGGGTTATGCATTGTGCCATGGAAACTGATAGTTCCTCCATGATAACCACTGTCAAAGACCAAGATCTGCTCGCAGTCATGCGGGTAAGCAACTTCTCCGACAGAACAAAAAGACAGTCTCTCATACCTTGCTTCGGCCAGTGAAGGCCTTCGCTGTGGCTAAGGCAAATGTATTGGCCTCAGTCCCGGAGTTACAGAAACGAACCCGCTCAATACTCTTGAACCGAGTCTGCAAGATCTCTCCCAGCTGGGCCTCCTTCTCGACGACGCCACCTAAACTGAATCCAGTGGCAAGCGCTTCCTTCACTGCCTGCTGAATGACCGGATGGGAGTGTCCATAGAGGCCCGCCGTGAAATCGGATACAAAATCAAGATATTTGTGCCCATCGACCGAGGTAACGTGGGCGCCGTTGCCCGACTTGAGGGTGAGAGGAAAGGGCTCCGACCAGAGAACAGATCGGGTATTTCCAGCAGGCAGAGCATTGCGAGCACGATCAAAAGCTGCTTTAGACTTGGGATTGGCCTGGATGAATTTGTCGATGAGCTGCTGCTTCAGGGTAGTGATTGATTCGGCCATGGTGAATTTAAGCCAGGTATAATTGTAGAGGAGCAGATAGGACCAACAATGCGAGAGGGACTTGCTGAGTTTTATACCTTGGTTGCGGCCTCCTACAGTCGGCCCAGATGGTTTTTTTATTGGCTAATGCTACATTGTTTAAGGTGAAATTATTTTCGTCACTTGTTACCTACCACGAACCTCTAGATGCATCTAAATTCGCCTGTGGTTTAAGAACTAGTATGCAACGCCTTCCGATATTGCTGCTCGACATAAATGGTACGCACTCCCTTTGACTTGACTATTGACATCTTCGCCCCCTTGGGAATCCAAAGCATGCTACCGGCCTTCAGATCGCTGACCTCGCCCGTTTCCTCATTCTTCAGCGTTAAATCTCCTGTACTGTATAAGCAATCATTTGACCGGGACTCACAATTCTGCGTTTTTCTTACCGTCTATCAAGTACTTTATCTCATCCCATTCGGCTTCCCACGCTGGAGTAGGTTCATCGAGATCGACCAGGGTCCAAACTCCAGCTACTATGGGATGTTCGGCGGAGGCACTGTCCCAGTCAGCTATCTTGGCTTAAGAGAATTGGTTTGGAGAGAAAGGCATACTCGGAACCCGCGAGATCCGTAAAGGCACCCGCGCCTTCTTCGGTTGTAGGGGTGACTTCGTCTGCCCCGTTGATAATGACAATATTCGGCATGGTGGATATGTTATTAGGCGCTCTGAGAATTGAGTTATGAGTGGCAGCATAGAAGCAGTGACCACTCTATTTCTATATAGTTCTTCGGCGTCAATGCGAGGCATCTGATTGGAACGGCTGAATAGACCAGTCGGAGTAGACTAGCCTAGGCTGAGAGGAGTTAGTTTCACTGCCAGGTACATAAGGCATAAAAATAAATCCATCCCAAGTCCCTGTCAGGATGAAAGCTGGTATCTCACCGACGGGCATTTATTTCACCCCATGCCGCACAGCCCACACCTCGCCCCAAGTCTGT